AACAAATTGGACTAAAGAGGTGAACATGACAGCTTTCAGTTATACCTTTCCTTTCTTCTAAAAGCTTGGATTTGCCAAAATTCTGAGATGATATCTTAATATTTCGCTGTATAACATGCAACTGTTATTTAGCCCTCTGTCCTGACTCAATCATTGAGCCAGGCTCAGAGATTAAGGAAATAAGGAGTGACAGAGGATTATAGGCAGTAGTAATCAATGCAAGCAATGAATCAATAATTTGCAACTTAATTAAAATTAAACCCTTTCGAGTCAAGTTGTCATAGGTGTAGTGTAATTCATGATTTACAACTTCGTGATTTTCACATATTATGCATTGCTGCCCCATGAATATAATCTACTTAACTCCACATGGTGTTTAAGCAGCGTGCCAGCGTACTTGCATGTCATTTGGCCATGGTTAGGACTTCTTTTGGCTATATATGCTTTTCATTCTTGACTATTACGAGTAGAATTTTGGCTCTGATATTGGTACAATGTATTGGAGTTTGGTGTGTAATTAACTATCGAGTTCATGGGTACTTGAGATGGATTGAAGAGAATTCCAATAGACACTTGTGTTTGCTGTTAGCCTGTAATAGACATCAGAAAAGGTCTAAGGCTGCTTAATTCTGAACACCTTAAAAAAATGTCGATTACATGGGTACTTAAGATGAATTGGAGAGTTCAAGCACACATATGCTGTAAAAACAAATCATAAAAGGTTTACATTTGAACAAAACTCAACTTAAATTATGCAATAGCATTCTTAAAAGGGTGGTGCTTATTAATGTCATAAACTTGTAATAACATGACCGAGCTACCTCCTCCTGTATGATATGCAGGTGGAAGAAACAAGCAGCCGCATGCAGAAGTGGGGTGGACAGGACATCAGCACACATAAGGTGGGCGACGACATATGAATGACTTACTGCAAGTGATGCAAAATTTCTGCTCCTGCATCACCACTCGAGCTTCATTAACAGCTGAAGGTTTAGATGTTTTGACTGGAGCTTATGTTGTCCACAACCTGGGTTGAACAAACCACTGAGACAATACGTGTTTCGTGATAAAACCTAATCATCAAGTCACCATTTATTCCATCACTTAACATTCCAAAGTTTTTGAGCTTTTATACAAATGAGGCACATGAACATTACAAAATGAAAATCAAATTATTAGTTAAGGTAAGATCAAGTTCTTACATTTTTGTTAAATATGAAATAATCTCATTTTCAAATTGAAAGTATTTAAATTATACTTGTATTATTAATTTGTAGCACCAAATTACATGCTCTGTTTAGAAAACATCAAAAAATTGTAAAATTAAGGTCCTACCGAGATTTGAACTCGGGTTACTGGATTCAGAGTCCAATGTCCTGACCACTAGACCATAGGACCGTTTGCTTTTTAAACTAAAGGAAAATTCATAATAGACAGTACTTATACAGTGAGAAGTAGTGTGCCATGAAAATGGTGAATTTCACTATTTTTGGGTTCGATGAGGCAAATTAGTAATTTTTATACTAATTACTAATTTGTACCATCCAACCTGAAATTATGTTTTGAGAGCTACAAAGGTGGATGACGGCGGATAATGAGAATCGATCTCAGAATCCCTTAGAACCAGGAAGGAGTTCTAAACTTCTAATCAAGCTATTTGAATTATCCCCTCATGTCAGAGTAGCTTTGACCCTTTTTTATTATTATTATAAAGTTTTATACTTTTGTTTAATACATTTTGGAAGTACTAGTCTACATTGTCAAAAAAAAAAAAAAAAAAAAAAAAAAGTACTAGTCTACTGCCATAAATAACTAAACGACTGCCTTCCACGAAAATGGTAGGAATGTATTAAAACTTTTAACGGAAAATGAATTATTTATAAAAAAAAAAAAAAAAAATCAATAAAGAAAAATGGTGGTATGTAGGGAGAAAATTAAATGCACGAAAGCCGCGAGGCAGTAGCATATCGTGGACATTCGATATCCTTGCTTTTTGATAGAACATCATTGTGAATTTGTGATGTTCAAGCAACAAATAAATGTACCTACTTTTATTTATTTATTTATTTATTGGTACTCCTCTTTAATCAATATTAGATTTCTTTCATTTTCCAAAATAATTGGACTAGGTTAATACACATATTCATATATCCAATTTTGTAAGAAAAGTTATTCAAAAATATTGATTTTCGAAAAATACACATCAATATGAATCTAATTAACAAAATCTTTATGAGTATGATAGTTGTATAAAATTGTAAGAATTTATGGGTAGTGTTTACCCGTGTTTCTTTAGCGTTGGACACATAACTATTCAAAGTGTAAGAATATTTAGAAATAATTTACATAATAATACAAATAATGCAGAAAATCAAAGTAGTAATAAAACAAAAAACAAATGGTGTAAGGTCGTCTTGATTTTTCTAAAAAAGATAGGCAAAACCTTAAATTAAATTAAATGCAAGTATGGACACTTAAAATAAATACGAAGTATTTGTTTTTGTCTAAAAAAAATGTTAATTCTTAAAACACATTTATTTAATCAAGTTTTTAAATTGAAACTAGTGTATGGGTGTATGGCCCAGGCGATACCCCACATTGTTACTTTGATCACATGTAATTGAATATTTTTTTTTTTGATTAAATAATTGAATAGATATTTGATCATTCTTTATTATTTATTTATTCATTTATAATAATTTTTCATTAAACTTTTGGATAATTTCTTTATGGAACAACTATTGACTAATCTATTAACTATTACTAAAACAAAACATTGCTAACATCATCTTTTTTTCCCGCATAAAACCATTGATGATGTCATTTTTTGTGATACTTTTTTTTTTGTGATGTTTCATAAACAAGCTAAGTAAATTCTTTCAACAACTTTAATCTAGAAAATCGAAGTATAGTTTATTGAATAGCAATTGTATTTCTTCTAATGAATTTATGACAAAATTGAAATTCATTGTATATACAAGTTCTACGCTACAATTTTTTTGTTAAAACCGTTCATCACAAGGGGAATAATCTGGTTATATATAAACATGTCCTTCGTATAGAATTTATAATATAATGAAAATAAAGATATAATTATTATCAAAATAATTTATATAACTAAAATTAATTTATAACAAATAAATAGTTAATTTTCTTGTATGCATTATTACCTCAATGGGCATTATTAAGAAAATGTTGAGTATAAAAGCATGACTAATCAATAGATGAGATAATAAGACATCCAGTGCATATTAATGTTCTTACCAACTTTGGTTTTTTATTTTTTTTTTTAATTTTTTTTAATTTTTTTTTTATTATTATTATTATTTTTTACTTATGCTTCATATTCAATTATAATACACTAAATACTTTAATTTGTAAAAGACATTAATTTGAGAGCGTTTATTTAGTTTCATTATTTATTATTATCAACATATTTTTTGTGATTATATACTTTATTATTTTATATATATAACCCAAATAATATATATTGATATTCAAAGAAAATCACGGTGCATCGCCCAAGGCCACACATTAGTTTTTCATCAAAATATGCTCATAGTTGAATGAGTACGTACGTCAGTATGTGGACAAAGTTTTTAACATTTAGAGTTAAGTTTTTCATTAAAAGTTTGTTCATGCTCGAGCTTGACTTAATTAATCACTAATACTCGTATTATCTCATATCTAGTGCTTAAAATTCTACTTAAAAATAAGGGCCAATGAAAACCCGTGACCTTTGTGTCACACTACCTCTAATACCATGTTAAACTCCTAGTAAATAAGTGGTATGTTTTATACTATATCACACTCACTATTGCAAATATTTGAGATTAGCTAAAATACAGTCCCTGAACTATGGCATTAGTTGCATATTTGGTCCTTCATCTTTCAAATGAGGCAAATTGGTCCCTCTACCACCCTTGTGTTGTCTCACCATTTCTGGTGGAGGAACTTATGAGTCAGCAAAGTTTGTGTGTACTACCAACTAAGCAAAAGTTAAGGGACATATCCTAGTTAGCATTTGTTTAGGGATTACAAATATTTTTTTTTTGTCAGCTACTAATTAATATTTATTATGTACAAACTTTGATTAAAATAAAAAAAAACATATTCAATTTTTTTGCTTTTTTTAAAAATTAAATGACTTTTTTTTTTAAAAAAATATGACTTAGAGAATTAAAGAAGAAAATTAAATATGACTTAAAAAATTAATTATTCGACTTTCTTTCAAAAAAAATAAATTAAATACTTCGAATTAAAGAAATAGGAAGAGAGAAAAAAAAAAGGGTCAGCCCTCTCTTCTTCTCTTTCGGTTTGCTGCTCTAATAGGGAAACAATCCCCTACTTTGCACCTCATTAACGATCATCAACAATCACCATCTTTTAATTCCAACCTTTGATTTATTTTTGTGCTTTAATCTTGGCCTCCTGATTTAATTAATTCTGTGCAAGCTCATGCACAATATAGTTCAGCCGAATCGGAGGTTTGAGTGCGTGGTCGATTAATGACGGTGTTGAGGCTGCAGACTGGTGGAAATGGGGTTGTGTGTTTGTGGCAAGTTGTTGGTGATGTGGGGTGAGAAAAGGTGTATAACCAAAATATTAATGTTGATGGGAAAAAAAATAATGTTAGTTAAAAGATTCCCTTTAAAAAAAAAACTGACAAAAAAAAAAATTAATCATGTCCCTAAAGTTTTGCTAACTAGGATAGATCCCTAAACTTTTTTTAAAATATTATTTTATTTTTTTGTCACATGGGCACTTTGGTCCTTAAACTTTGGTGACTCATCTTTTATCTACCGGAAAAGTATATTATGGGTGGTTAAGGGACTAATTTACTTCATTTGAAAGATGAGGTACCAAAATGATACAAATACTAAAGTTGAGGGACCGTATTTTAGCTTAACTACAAATATTCAAGCCAAGACAATAATATCTATGTAGACCGTATTGATGTCACCATCAAATATTTATTATAAACAACCGTATATTCCTACGTTGCCTTCGTGCCATCCCACAAGGCCACAATATTAAGTATGAAGTGCAATAACTAGAGAGAAATAATCAGATAAATAAATAAAATCTAGAGAAGAAGAAAAAAGGAAGTAGGTAGAGTGTGTGGAAATGGAGACACCACTGCTAAACGGCGGCGACGGTAACAGGTTGAAGGCGGAGAACGGTGACTACGCGGAGGTGAAGAGCATTAGCGAGGCGGCGGCGGTGTTTAAGGAAGAGACTATCAAGTTATGGAAGATAGCATCACCATTAGTCTTTAACATTATTTGTCAATATGCTACAAATTCTCTTACGAACATTTTTGTAGGACATCTTGGGGAACTTGAGCTTTCGGCTATTTCTATCTCAATGTCCGTCATTAACACCTTCGCATTCGGCTTCATGGTTTTTTTTCTATCTCTATTACTTTTTCCAGTTTTTTTAATTTTAAATTTACTCCACATTATTTATTCATTTTTTTTTTATTTGATGATATTTATGTAGCGCAGAATAGTAGAATAATTTTGAGTTTTGACGAATGTTGATGATATACTTCCTCCATTTCCGAAAGAACGAACGGTCATCTATTAAAATCACAAAATTACCAATATATCCTCAAATATTTTTGTCATATAGCTCTTTCTCTCTATTTTACCCTTGATTTTTTCAGTTCTTTGTGCCATCTCCTCTCTAAATTTCTAAACTTTTTTCTCTCCCCTGTCACTATTAATTTTTCTTGTGTTTTCCCATAAATTTGTACTTGTAAATTATTGATGACTTGTGATTTCCCATACATGTGTACTTGCAAATTAAGTTACTTAATAACCGCGAATTCAAGCCAAATAGGTCGTTCTTTCGAGTACGGAGGAAGTATGTTTTTAGAGTATAAAAGTCAATCTTGTCAAGCCTTTTTCAATATTATCTTTTTATTTATATAAAAAAAAAAGTTCTATTAATGAAAAACAGTATTACAACCTGAAACAAACTTGTAATGATCTTTGTAAATTCTAATGTTAGTAAAGACAAGAATGATTTTTTGGGTGCAAAGTGTAATGGTTAAAGTTAAGCCAATCTTTACTTTAAGACGTTTAAGTTATGTAATGATCTTTGTAAACTCTTATGTTAGTGAAGACCAGAATGATTTTTTGGGTGCAAAGTGTAATGGTTAAGGTTAAGCCAATGTTTGAGTAGGTAGAGTAAAGCTAGGAGGACATTTATAGTACAGACAATAAAATATCCCAATAATAATTTAGGAAATTGCTTCATGTATGAAGTTTCCTACTCAATCTTTTGTGCTCATTTTTGCCAAACTCTCACATTACTTGTTGCTTTGTAAAAAGTATTTAGCAATAATAGTAATGAGGACATATTAGGTGATAGTAATGTTAGAGATGACAAATTAGGTGTGTGGATTGGATTCGAGTCACATTGGATCTGTGTCATGGTAGGTTTGCTCGTGTGTCTGTGGCCTCTGTGTGGATCGTATTTGAATTTGGGACTCTTTGGTTACTTTGGGTGAAGTCGGGTTATTTTCAGGCCGGAATGGTTTTTTAGTAACAGCCCATGGGGGTGTTATCTCATTATTATTCTATTCTAATACAGGAAACTTGTGTTAAAAAGTATTGAAATGTCTAGAATTGTTAATTAGTGTGTTAAAACTTTGAACATTCTAATACAAAAACTAGTGTTAAAAAGTATTGAAATGCCTAGAGTTGTTAATTAGTGTAATGGACAATCACTTGGTGTAATGGTTTTTACAAACTTACAATGTAGTACTATTATTTTGTTCAAGTGGGAGCATGTAATTTTTGGAGATTTTAATGGGGACAAATATTGTTGTTCAAACTTGTAGCTTGGTATGGGGAGCGCGCTTGAGACATTGTGTGGACAAGCTTTTGGTGCAGGGCAAGTTCATATGCTTGGAATTTACATGCAACGCTCGTGGATCATCCTATTGCTCAGCAGTCTTGTACTCCTACCAATTTACATCTTTGCTGCACCTGTGTTAAAGTTTCTAGGACAGGACACTGATGTAGCCAACCTCTCAGGACAGTTCACCATCCTTACTATACCCTCATTGTTCTCGTTGGCTATCAATTTTCCTACTCAGAAGTTCCTCCAAGCCCAAAGCAAGGTTAATGTTATGGCTTGGATTGGATTTATTGTTCTAATTGAACACGCTGTGCTTCTCTGGCTATTCATTGCTGTGCTGGGCTGGGGTCTGCAAGGGGCTGCAGTAGCTTTCAACTTCACAAAATGGGTGACTGCAATTGCACAAGTTGTTTATGTGTTTGGTTGGTGCAAGGATGCTTGGACAGGGTTCTCATGGGCTGCTTTTAACGAGATGTGGGCGTTTGTTAGGCTTTCAATTGCTTCTGCTGTGATGCTTTGCCTTGAAATCTGGTATATGATGAGCATAACACTTCTTGCTGGTCACCTTCCAAATGCTGTCATTACTATAGGCTCTCTTTCTATCTGGTGAGTTTCCGAACCTATGCAATTCATGACTTGTAAGTTTATTGTCTACTTGCAAGCATGTCAAATTGTGGTATCATACTTAATCTTCCTTGATAAATGTATACTGTGGTATTATTCTTAACAACTAGCTGTTGTTCTTCTGCAAAAAAGTCGCTAATGCAATTTTCTTCTCTGTTTCAGCACGAATATAAATGGACTACAATTTATGATATTCATCGGAATAAATGCTGCTGTAAGGTAAATGCATAAAAATCAATATTCTTACTATGCTAGACACTAACCTTTTCAGTTTATTTGCTTGAGTTGTGAGATTCTATCTTGATCGTATACTCTTAGAAGCTACAAGTGGTTAGTATGATTTCATTTTCATCTATCAATTCTGAAGCAATTTTTGTTACTACTAGTGTTCGTGTATCAAATGAGCTTGGGTTACAGCATCCAAGGGCAACCAAATACAGTGTTTTCGTTGCAGTCTTCCAGTCTATCATCATCGGGCTTCTGTGCTTGGTCATTATCCTCATCACTAAAGACCATTTTGCTATTATTTACACCGATAGCAAGGAATTGCAGCAAGCAGTTTCTAAACTAGCTTGGCTTCTTGGTGTGACAATGGTTCTTAACAGTATTCAGCCTGTCATTTCAGGTAGACTTGCACTTATTTTCTTTGTATGCTTTTGTGGCATTTTCTGCCTGTCAAATTTGTGACTTCTCCTTTCTGCTTACGTACAACTGATGGACAGACTCCTGATCGAGCAGTCTGGACTAGAGTACTAAATGATTCAGTAATTATTTTCTTATCATATTTGTAGGAGTTGCTGTTGGAGGGGGGTGGCAAGCCACTGTGGCCAATATAAACTTGGCTTGCTATTATGTTTTTGGGCTACCGCTTGGATACATTCTCGGCTATGTAGCACACTTGGGAGTAGAGGTAATATCACTTTCCATTTGTGCTTAAGATCTTAATTCTTCATGATCAACGATATATTCTGAAATATGGTTTTATCAATGACAGGGCCTTTGGAGCGGAATGATAGCTGGAACTCTCTTGCAGACATTCATTCTACTCTTCATCCTTTACAAAACAAATTGGAATAAAGAGGTGAGCTTTACATAGCTTTCAGTTACTTTTTCCTTGTTTTTCTGAAAGTTTGGTGTTAGCATAATTTGGAGATATGAGATCTTAATACTTCACCTTATGTCGCATTGCTGTGTTTCTTCTGTTCATACTCGCATAGTCTAAGTATTTTTGGCTAAGGGTAAGGACTTCCTTTAGTTATGCTCTTCAGACTTGGCTATTAGTTTTTCCAAAACACTGGTCGTGATACACATATTGAATTTAAAGGTAGAATTGTCGCGTACATTGACACTAGAGATGAATTGAAGAGTCATATATACACATCTTGAGTATTTTGCATTTCTGTAAAAGACACCGTAAAGGTTTAAGGTAGTGTACTTATGAATAAAACTCCACCTTCAGTTGTGCAAAAGCATTCTAGAGTGGCTGGTAATAGTTGACGTCGTAAAAAGACAGACATGACTAAGCTGCCTCCATGATATGCAGGTGGAGGAATCAAGCAGCCGCATGCAGAAATGGGCAGGGCATGACAGCAGGGCAGATAAGATTGGTGATGACATATGAATAACTTGCTTCAAGTGATGCAGAAATGCGTTTTTTAACTTCCAAAGTGTTCTGAATGTTTGGAGGGTGCTTCTAAAGGCATTACACCTCTAAAATCCCAATAAGATCGTGTTAGAACATCTTATTGATGAAATATTGTCATTTATAAACCTTGTTGTTTAACGCTGAATCTGATCATATTAACGCATATGATCACCATAGACTCAGATTTAACCAAGGATTGCAACTTACTGTAGTTACAAAATTGTAACCACATTCTAGAGTCCTTTCAAATTATAGAGCAGCGTAGTCTTCAACGTATGAAGAAAATAAAACTGCCGTGTTCTTAGCTATTGTCATATACATTACTTTAATCGATCGCGTCACTTTGAATTTAAACACAATAATAATCCCACGGAGACATGACAAACGCATAGGCGGCTAGGCGATATGGGCATCATTTTCCACCTCGTTATTTTCATGAATTTAAAAAGACAAAAGAAAATTACAATTTAGTTATTTGCCTATTTAGCTTAATAAAATAAATTATTATCAACATATAATATTTGTAATTGACACAGCCCACAACCATCTTTACAAATAACTACAGAGTAACAAGATTATAAATGAGCCGACTAGCATAAGAATTGATTATTTTATTCGATTTGTAGGTTAAGTTGACAAAGCAAAATTGATCTTAATAATCAGTTTGGTGATATACCAAAGAATACGCCAACAACCAATAAATCAACAGCACTAACCAAATTAATCAGGCAGACCATGTGGCCAACTAGACATCAAAATGATTAATTCTTACACTAATCTAGACCACAATATTCTCTTATGCAAAGTTGATATCATCAAGTCAAATACAGGATTCGCAAGTTTAAGACAAGAAATCTAAGTTATACTAATCTCTTTTAAGTAAGAATCTTTTTCTGCAGCCTGTAAGCGTATCTCTGAATCAAAACTCCCGTAAACTAAGCTTCTTCAAGATCTACACAGCTGACTTTCTCTGATTTCGGAGAAATTTATTAAACACGGCCATCTATTCGACCAATCCAGATCCCGATCTTCTGTTATGGAGCGTTCACATACCATCTCTTCTAAATTTGCCACATCTTAACTTACAGCTTGTAACTTCTTGATCGTGGTTCGTGGTGGCATTAGATAACACAGAGGCAGATCAATACTAACATACTGATAAATCCTTCTAAAGACAGCATCAGCGATTAGCACTATTAAATCACTCCTAGTTAATGATGTAAAGGGAGAGCTATATGACCTAAAGTTCTGGACTATGGTCTATGGCTGGCTTTGCTCTAAGCAAATCCTGCCTTTGTTTTTAATGCACAGCCAGCCGTAGGTCGTAACTTCTGGTCATGAGGGAAGCAAGATGAGAGTACGAGACTAAGAGTGAGGCAACTAGGCAAGTACCTGACTTCATTCTAATGAACACCATATTTCCCATGAACAGAAGAAATACAGCAATGCATTAGTTACTAGCAGAAACCACATCTAAGTATAGGAGATATGTTAGCAACCACTCGTACTACTAAATGATTCAAGCAGAAACTCTTCTAAATCATATAAGACAAGTAACAAACCAACCAGCAAAGAGTTATTTCGGGTCTCCATCACTCAACAAACAAGTCCACTGCTTGCTCTTTGGAGTAAACTTCTGCAAGAGCAAATACAAAGAACAACTTGAAAAAATATCTGCATTTCACCAAACAAGTTATGTGGCCAGAATTATTAGTACACTACATATACGAGTACGAAGTTAGACAAAGACACCTCCGCGAGAATGCCAACCTTTGAAGCAAGTTGCAGAAGATCGACAAAAACAGTCATGAAGGGTGCTCATCTTCAATCGCGAGAACAAGTTAGAAGTCAGCCTTACAAACATAAAGACAACATAGTTTGCCATTAACAGAAAATCAACTTGCAAATGACAATATTTCACAGATTAGACGTGGTCAGCATTGTCATTCTTCCAATCAGATAACCACTTATAGCAGTCCCAAGTTAGAGGTTAAACGATAAGTATGTTCCATCAGGCAGAGATAATCGAAAGGATTGGCAATAATCCAAGACTGATTATCCAATAAGAGGGAGTTACCTCAGCAATGCAGAGGCCACTTAAGAAGCTGAGGTAGCTGCAATGGTGATTCTCAACACACACTGCATAAGAATCACGGTAGAATAAGCACATGAAAATAAATGTAAAAGAAACAACAGTTGCACAAACCAATTAAATGATTGAAGAAGTAAGTTTTATTCCACTTTCATCTCTTTTATTTCATCTATCATTACAAATAATCACAAGCTAAAATCTAAGCCGAGCACTAAATGTCAGACCATCATCGGTAGTTGATTAATCTCAGACCTGACACGGTCCTCTTCTCTAATGGTTCTGATTCCATCTTGTCCAAAATTCGGTCGCAAAGTTCTGAACTTTGACGGTCCTAGCATGTTCATCTTCCCATTCAAAGATCGATCCATTTTGATTACGAAAGTTTTTTTGACTTTTCATCTTTTAGGGAAAATAGGACATTCTTTTGTCTTTAGACTGATAAAATCAGTCGACAGCATTGCCGCTGCAATCTAGCTGCATAATTTGACAGTGCACGCCACGGCCTGAGCCCAAAATTTTAGCCTTGCTTTGACATCTTCAGGATGATCACCTAATCAAAGGAACAGACAACATGTTAAGCATAGCACAAAGGGTAATCAGAACAAATGTGAAAACAAACTGGAACATGCTGTGACCAACTCATGCCAAACAGATGCCAACTATCTACAACTCAGAAAAATAAAAGCACACAATCCAATATACTACAGCAAGTAACAATGTGAATGATTAGTTTTGTTCACACTTTACAGTTAACATGTGCACAAGATCAAGTCTTTAATTCTTGTAAGTTGTAACAATTTTGTCAGCAAAGATCATGGAACACATGGAATTCTTTTTATCTTAGACATCAGACAAATAATGCAAGTTTTCTTAGTGTATACATTAATCTTTCTAAACTCAATCAGATCTACTTATTATTTAATTACATATATATATTCACATGATTAAGTAATCATTTGTCCTGAAATTTATTAGAATCAACATCAAATCTGTAAATACCACCTTTCGTGTCAGATTTAGTTGTCGCATTACTAATTCAAATTACACTTACTAATTTATGTAGTTTACAGTTAATAAAGGTCAATTAAATCGAAAATCATTCAAATTAGACAAATTCAAACCCAGATCCCAAAAACCCAGAAAAATTGAAGCAGAACCCAGATCATAAAGCACAGAAAAAACCAAACCCAGATCAAAAAATTTATGAATCATAAAATAAAACTCACCAGGACTAGAGATCTTCCAAGTAGGCATAGGACTAGAAGATTCAGACCCAGAAGACGACGCCGTATCATTAGTATTATTAGCATGATTCAAACTTTGTTGATGGTGTTGTTGTTGATTAGGATAATCATCTAGAAACTTCTGAGACATAGAATAACAAAGCTCCAAAGCAGGCAAAGTATTACAAAGTTCAGGAATTTCATCATAACTAAACCCAAACCCTAAATCAACACAACCCTTTAATTCATCAAGATCATCATCAGTTAAGCTCTTTGTTCGAGGTAAATCATCGTCATCAGAGGGTTCAACGTATCCTTCTAAACAAACCTGCGGTACCCTCTTTCTGGGTTTCCTGATTCTGGATTTTGGTTCATATACAATCACCTCTTCTTCATCTTCTTGATGATCGAAATTTGGGGTTGTTGTTTGGTTGTTGGTGGTTGTAGAAATTATGGTTTTGTCTTGGGATTCAGATTCGGAATTGTAGGCTGCCATTGTTTTTCTGGGTTTTTTTTCTCTTTCTTGTTTTTCTGGGTTTTTTTCTCTCTCCAATTCTATTGATTCTGTTGTGTGAGTGAGATTGTGAGAAATGGGGTGAGAGAGAAGGGCTTATAAAGGTAGGGCTTTTGCAGTTTAGTCCCTAAGTCGGTCATTAGACGGCTATTTTTTTAATATTTATTGTTATGCCCTTGTGTGGGGACAATATTGTGTACATCCTCTGTTTCGGAATAATTGACCCAATTTGACGATAAATTGACACAATTTGACTTTTTTTAGCTATTCATACTCGTATATAATTTTGACAATACGGACATACGGTTATATTACTTATATTACTTATATACGAGTAGTCCAGTAATAATTAGGCCATGTTCATTTCAATTAAAAAGAAATAAATATTCAGTTCAGTTCAATAAAAATCAATAAGTTTTTTAAAAAAATATAACAAATAATCTAAAATTAATAATTTCAATTAAGTAAAAATAATTTAAGTTTAGCATAAGTTATTTCAGTTTAGTAAAAATAATTTCAATTCAACAAAAATAAGGTGAAGAGAACAAGGCCTTACTCGTATTAATTTTATTATCATGTTAATATGTTTTCAAATACGAAGTATTCTCTTTATTACTCCGAAAATCAATTATTTAATTAAAAAACAATTATTAAATCTCACGTATAGTAATTATTGAAGCATTAAGTCAATGTTAAAAAAAATGGGGATATTTTGTTTTGGGATGATCGAAGGTAAATATGAATAGTTATTTTTTGAGTAGATATATATTTATTTTGGTAATAAAAATAATTTTATTGGAAATATGTATACATGAAGAAACCTGTGTAAAATAATTACACCGTATTAGAGATAGAATGAGTTTAAACGTAACCAAGATCTTTTAAGAACAGAGGGAGTAGGTATCATGTAAATTTTCATTATGTTAATTTTTGTTAGTGATTGTTGTTAGTAGTCAAACATATGCAATGGCATGTGTGCTGAGTTTAACTAGGTCCATTCAAATACAAAGAGTTTCATTGTCCTTTATTTTTACTGAACTTATTTACTTACAGTGATATTCTATTTACTTAATTCACTTTTCACCCCTTTAATCTCATCAAATTATAATTTAGTATTTATATATTCTGGTCTAAAAAAATTAGTGTCTAGATTTCTTATTTAGTGTCCAAATGTGAATTTATATGGTCCATTGCACTAGGCCTAATAGTTCATTACAAATATGTTATGCTTGTGACACAATTTTTCACATTTTAAACACAATGATCATGTTTGCCAAAATGTAGTTGTAAAAGTGGTTGTTAAAGCCTGCTCTGATAGAATGAAGTGAGCTGAATTGAACTGAACTGAACTGAATATTTTATGAGAGAAGGAAATTAAGATAAAAATTGTACTAAACTTATTGGAGCTGGATGTGTGCCTGTGTAAGTAACTGTTTGCTATCATGCTTGTCAGCAAATTGTTAGTTGCGAAAATATATAATTGAAGTGTAAGTATTTAGTAAATTAGTTGTTAACTAAATGTAGTGTCATTTTGAATACTATAGAAAAACATATTATCAGTTACTTTTCATTTTCAAATGCTAATTTAGCTCGTAATAATAGTTACTTTTAATATTAAACACTACACTCATCATAACATAATTTTCACCGCCTAGCACTTTTTTTTTTGGGTATTAAGGGTGTTCTCTTCAGCTTATTTTCAGTTCAATTCAGTTTACTTCCGTTTTGAATTTTCTTCTCTCATAAAATATTCAGTTTAGTTCAGTTTAATTCAGCTCTAAGAAGTTTAATTTAGTTCAGTTCAGCTTCAATATATTCTATTCAGTTCATTTCAGTACAATCAATTAGAACAAACCCTTTAAAAGTGGTTTGAGTTGGACGAACCATCAAAAACTATATATAAAAAAAAGTACTCAAAATTATTGCCGGACACAGCTATTAAGGTCTTTATATCCAATAACTCAAAAATTACCAGGGATCGAGTTTCGATGAGCCTGAATGATGATCCTTCTCTGTATACAAGATTAAGGGTATACTCTAAAACACAAAACAAGATAAGGATCATACATGAAAATAACATCTCAAAAGCCAACATGTATCACTTCAGTCTCCTATAAGGCTATAACATATGAATATATGATGTTGATGATGTTACATGGGTGACCATATAATATAATTTTTTTTAGAAAAAAAATAAAAAGTTACATTTTTTAATATTTTTATATCTAAGCATGTGATGTGAGAAAGGCATTGTTGTTCATATACAAGATGACAGCTGTCCAACTGCAAAAAGGCCAAATAAAAAAATAAAAATAAATAGTAATACGTGGAGGAAAGTAAATGGGGTAGCTACCCTTACCTTGGTGAAATGGGCAAAGACAAAATTTTTATGGCCCAATATAAGGGAATGTGGGCCCATTTTGAAAAAAGGGTCCCACACCTAGATCCATGTTCATCTTATATGAGTAGTTGAAATTTTTTGTTCTTTTTCTATGGTTTTCAATCGTTTAGAACAAAAATACTATTGCAATTGCAACTAACCAAGAATTTAATTGAAGAATAACGTGTATGAAATATTTTATAGTTCTAGAGGATTATCACAATTCCAATTTGGTATTTTCTTAGGAATATTGGTTTCATAATGTGTTCCATGTTGCATAAAATTTATCCAACTTGAGTAAAATTCTAGATTCCTAAAGTTGGTGTTTCTTGTGGAGTAGATTAAACTTGTAAGGGAAGAGTTTGGATGAGGTTGAATGAATTAGATCATCATGTCGTTAAAAAAATTATAGATGTGATGCGTATTGGTTTTAAAAATAAAGCAGCTTCGAATATTGTTCGTGTGAAAGAGATGATGAAATAAACTAATGTTTTTGTGCGCTTTTTATTACGTTGTTGTCATTAAGAACGGTGTAATAACGTGTAAACAAAACTGCTTAGCTTTAGAAATATAAGCTTATCTAATCTTACATCATCTAATGTTTAAGTTTAAACAAATTAAAAACACTTAAGAGGACTTTCAAAATGTATAATTGATTTTTTTTAAAAGTAGCTGCCGGATAGTATGACACGTAGAAAATTGACTATTTAGTATACGTGACTAAGAATTAACTCATAATATTTATGAACTTGTAGTCTTTGGGCTTGTTTAATAAGCTTATATGACTCTTCAAGCTTCATGATCGATGAAGCATAGTGTATCCAAATTGATGTGCCTATCTATATCTCCATGCAAATATGCAATGTCAATTCAATAAGTAAGTAATTTATGGGGTTAATTTTGAATAAAGACATAAATACCCAATATTATCTATACTTGGCATGCATTTGACACGAGATATACCACTTGAAAAAATCAATAATGTTGTATGTCACCTAAAAGTATCGATACATGTACTACCATATACTCTTGTTTTTATATTTATACCATGTTTATTTTCGTATCTGTTTTCATACATATATCCTCTACAAACAACTCGGACTTTTATCTTGTATTTGTTGGAGTAAATAAAGTAAAAGTCAAGTTTTTTGATTGGTTTGTGGCTTTTAAAAGTATGACCAATTTACTTCACAAGTAGGTTGTGACCTACCACGTTTGCCCACAGATGGGTTGTGGAGTTGTTTTTTTTTCATGTCTAGATTACTATTTGGCTTTCTACTTTTTCTCTTGCCTTGTTGGTATTTGGTTATTCTTATGTAACCCCCTTATTCAAGTAGTTGTTTATTGTGATTCAATCAGTTTATTATTCTATTTGATCACTCATTTAGATGGTTACATTTGGCTCTTCATACTTCCTGCATTGTCTATATGACTTGAAATCTTTTTTAAAAAAGAAACACAATACTACATACACAAAATACAAAGAGCTAAACACATTTCTTCTTTTGAGCATAAGTTCACCTCTTACCCAAAAGTGTCTTTGAATGAGAGTGATGTACAATGTAATCATAGGAAACATACCAGCGATACAATGTGCATTCGGTTGCGCTGGAATTCGTTTTCAAAGTCAATGACAAATTGTCACTCCACACTATCTTCCTTTGGCCAAACTAACATATTATTATTCTTGTATAATTTATAGCCTTTGAAACTCTTATTTTTATAACAGTATACAATAACATTACTTGTATTATCTATATGAGAATAATCAAGAAGTTTCCATAATTAGAAGTGTGTATACCCCAACAAAGATGTTGCATGGTTTCTATTCTTAGTAGACTTTTGCATCTATATATGAATATGCTCATCAAAAAGACATAAAATTCCAATTCTCCACTAATACAATTTACTTGAATTGTGGGGCTATTACAAACATCAACCACTAAATTAAAGCTCAATTACTGTCCCTAATTACAATTATCTAGCTGTCAATTCAACTATACCATTCAATTATCCACACTAATCCAAAATTAAGCTCAGCTGCCCCATGATTATAATTAGTAATTCATAAAACGTTATTTTTACATAATTATTTTGTATTAAATTATTATAAGTGGTTCACATTATTTTAGAAATATAAAATATAATGTCCAAACTTATGATCCGGTATCTTTGGGAATATAACGTACCTCATGTGTGTAAGCATCCAACTATGCTACAACTTGCAACGTTATTTTATTTAAACCTTTGGATTTAATTATGTGACAAAAATTTATGATTGGTGCATTAAATGATATAGATCTTAACTTCGTTACCAAGTAATTAGCCATATAATAAAATGTACATTGACGGCATAATTTAATTACTCAAATTTTTAATTTAGCATAATTGTATCCTCAATTAGTGAATCAATCCTACGTGTGTGCTTACACAATACTCAAATTAGTGTGTCTAATTGAGACATGAATTGGACCAGCTGTTACTTTTTCACGTAATTAGATTGATATTGTGAGCATTAATTAGTGTTGATAATGGATTAGGCTGAGATTTTGGTCATTTGAATTGTTAATTCATATAATTACCTTTGCCGACTCGCCATTAAACTATACTCCTATATAATTATTTTTGCCTTTTGCGAACCAACTTTGACCTTTGATTATTTATAAACTATATATTATACACATATATTTTTAAGGAACATACTAT